CACGTTTCCGCGAGAATATAAGCTCATTTCGCCAAAGTATAAAATGGGCTCGATACCCCTTTGGTAAGATTCGAAATTTCATTTACCACTGTTATTTTTCGATAAGGGTAGTTAAACGAAAAAATTGGATACATTAAGGATATTTTTATTTTCCTTTCAGTACCGAAACCCAGCCTTACCCGAGGCACTGAGAGGCTTGCCGAACATCTTTTCTTCCCTTGTTCTTTTTCGTTCTCCTTTATTCTTGCAATTACAAGAGTCCTTAATAAAATCTTGGAAGAGACTTCCCACAAGTAACCTAGTACGTGTAAGCCCAAAGGACTACTTATATATATCTATATATAACCTCGTATTGAATTATTGGTAAAATCATGGCGGTTGTGTTTATAATCGACGTTCGTTTACCTCCTGTATCCTTTTTTCGTAAAATTCACGTTGTTTTATCTACGTCGAAATTTTGACGAAACTGATCGTTAACTGCTATACATTTTTTGCAGCCGAAAAAAGTTTCGTCATTTTCCTTATTTTTTTTTAACTCGGAAATAACCGACGATGAGAATATTATTTTTAGTTTGTCAGGACAATCCCCGGCAGATTAATGTCCGGAAACGAATGGCCGCTTGACTTCTCATTCCGGTTTGGCCATCTGTTTTATTTTAATAAACCAGTCCGTCCCGCTTCCAGAATGTTCTCTGGATATGATCGTAAAGCCATCATAATACCAATTCCCTCTGTGCTTTATGGCTTTTCATATTTATTCAGTGATCTTGTCGGATCTCTAGTACTCTCGTTAATTTTCATTCGTTTCAACTTGTCCTAATCTGTACTCCCATTGTTCACAAAGTTCCCATAGACCATTTAGCCATATACGAAAAGTTGCAAGCAGTGCATAGATGGGGAAATTGCGAATCTTGTCGCAAGTCTAGGTTGAATTTAGAAGGGAGCATAAACGAAGTTAGTAAAATTTACCCTAAGTCATGTTGAAGTTAGTCCAATTTATTATACATACATATATGACTTTACGATTATATTGGGAGAACCACTTGGAATGACAAAGTTAGTTTACAAGTTCACATAGTTAGTCGATAATAAAATTATTAACTATAAAATTATCAATCAACACCGATTATTAATATCGAAGGGTATCACGTTTCGATAAATACGCGAGAAACGTGCTGTAATAAACATCACACCTAATAACGGTCCGCGAGATAGAACAATTTGTCTCACATGGGAAAACTGCGCCAGAATCGCTGACGCTTTACGACCTGTCAGCCAATCGATTTAATACCGATGAAAAAAGCGGAACATTCATTCCGACTCTAGTGGGGAAAAAAACTTACCGGTTTTCTATTTCCAAAGATTTTACGATTAGTAATAAAAAAAAAATCGAATCGTTTGGCCTTCGTTGGATTTTTATCGTTTTCTTTGTCCAAGTCCTCGCGTCCGATTCTTCTTCCTTTAGACACGTTCTATTAACGGACTCTTCTCTCTCTCTCTCTTTCTCTCTCTCTCAGCCAACCACTCACTCCCAGCCGCCATCTTGGCAGAAAATTAATCATCTGCTGGTGGATGTTTATTAATCTAGTGAACAGCGAGACAGCACCGCCTGCAATTATTAATCCAGTTTACTTCGACGAGAAGTAGAGATCTTCGCGGCAGCTATGGGGCCGTCCATTTCATATACATCGCGAAGTGGAATTCTAACCTCCGCATGGAAGTTCAGTTGATCCAATAAATTATGGCATATTTATCGCAAACAATTCCAACGGCTAATGACGAGTATCTTGCTGAATTAAGACTGGCATTGTGCCGAGGACGGGGCGAATATTATCTCAGCAAGCGCTGGTTACCCTTTGCTGCCATTGTCCTTCTCAACTGGCAAGAAAGGACCTGTGAGTTTTCGAGAATCCCTATTGTCCTTACGTAAACGAGCGACTCTTGGGAGGCGACGCCTTGCTTAATGAAGTCAGATCGGAATGGTGGAGAAACGTGCAGAATGGGTGGAATAGGAATGGCTAAGAATTTCTCTATCGTTTATGGCTTTGAGGTTACGTCGTATACTTATTACATTACCTCGACAGTCTCTTAAAGCTTGGGTAATTAATGGTTATCAATAAAGATTGACTTCCCCTCTTGATTAAGAGGGGAAGATCTGTTATTTACTTTTAATTGTTACGTAAGTGGATTGGATTTCCTATTACTGGGCTGAGGTTTTGTGTTAGGGTCCATCCAGCCTGAGTTACGTACCAATGACGGATACTTATTGTTGGTTGTTTATCGAGAATTTATTTTTATTGTTTTTAAACATCTTTTATTTATATATAGTCTGTCGAAATTGTATATATAATAAGACTTGTTATTCTTGTATTCTAATCATACTAGTTTGTAACGAATCTATATTTGTTTATTTGTACGATACAAGAATTCATCAAGAAATATGGTGTAGTCTGTAGTTAGTAAAGAATCATGTTACTAATCACTAATTATTAATTCTCATAGAAAATTTGTAATCTTAACCTTGTAGCATTGATGAAAGAAGATACAGTAGACAGCAAGTTCTTACAACGCGAATTTCTATAACGCACCAAAGATATTGCGATTACTGCTTTCATATAACGCGATTCTTCGTACAACGTGTCAAATAATAAAACACAGGAATTACCTGATTTACGAACTAAGTACAGCACGATTTTCTCCCGCGTTATACGGAAATCTACTGTATGATTGAAACGTGTAAATCCTTTGAAATATTTGTGTATATAAACGCTATCTTCGCAAAATAAAAGATGAGGGGATTTTATATACTTATGTCTACGAGGAAGAAAATAATGAGATAACAGAACCTTAGGAGAGGATTCCTTTGTTGATTATTGTCAGGTAGCGAAGTCAGTCAATCTTGCTGAACCCACACTGAGAACTTTTGTTTGATCCTCGTCAAATAGATTTCACGGAAACAAACCTATTTCACCGCACTAGAAATTTCAAAGTAATGGAAATAGACGTCATTCGACAGGCAACCGTTTGTACTTCTACCAAATATAGCGTCCACGGTATAACACAGAACGTTTGCCAATAATTTTAATGGCAATGTCCATCGAACAATCCGTAACTGTGAAAGAACGAAAACTTTGATCATGATAAAAGTTTCTATGATACTCCGCGATCCCTACTCGGCGCTGTAATCGCTTAGGGTGATAGAAGCACAAAAGTACGAAGAATCACCAATCAGATGGAGCCACCGTCGCAAAGGATTTTAACGACTGCCTTCAGTACTTTTCAAACTAAGATGGACGCCGAGATGTACCCGGTGTAACCCATCCGCGTATTTCTAATGACATCCTCGAGCGTTTTAATGAGCACATCTCTGCAAAGCTTTACGTGCTCATGGCAAATTTCCATGTCCTCGACCACGTACGTAACCCATATCATACACCTCGTAATCTCTTTCTTTTCTTTATTCATTTGTCTGTCTGTTTGGTGCCCTATCTTTTGTTTCTATTTACCTTACTTTTCCATGGAAATTTAAATGCAACGTCGCTTTTATAGTCATAATATGTCTAAGAAACAAATATGTTTTATTTTTTGAAGAGGCCATCACTTATGAGTCTCATTGTGTAAAAGTCTCTTGAGTCTTGTATCTTACCCGTGGATCTACCGTAGGTAGGCTTTCACGTGTATAACCTTAAATTACAGGGAATTATATTTGTCATGAAAATGTAGTTATGTCGTGACGTGTCGTCTGTCACTTGTTTCTGTTTGATAGAGTTGAAATCTTTAGGGATTACGTTAATCGGCACTTCTCGTGACTCTTACTTCTGATATTCTGATACGGTCAAAATTTTAGCTCGCCCTATCTCCGTACGATCGTTACGAATTGTACACAGATTTTATTTGTACGTTCGCACGAAATGTTGCGCCTGTTTACTATCTTCATATCTCGTAAACTAGATACGTGAACGTGAATTTTATAGAGTTTGGTTTTTTGCAAATTTATAATATTTTAAGGGTAAATATAAGATTATGAAAAATATATTTGTTTGGTATTTCAATAATTTGTATCGAGCTACAGGAAATTATATACTCTCCATATATCCTATATATATACACACATTCTATGTATAATACGTTAATACAATTATATTGTTTTATCTAATTCATGATCAGGATTATTACGTGCATGCAATCTATAACTATTATCGTACTCATCGAAGGAATACGAATTATATCGAATAGGGATGGAAACTATCGATTAGATCCGTAACGCCTATAATTCCTATTGGCTTCTTATGAACGTTTGCTATTAATTAAATTTTCTCGAAGACAAGAGAGTTCCTATTAGGTATTTAGAGGTTACCTAGTAGGTATTGATATAGTACGTGATCTTGAAAACATTAATGAATCTAATCGGTACCATTATTAATTGACGACTCGCGAGTAAAATTAAGTTTGTTTGTAAAAGACGAAAATGTGAAAACAACATGAAATTTGTTTCTCGTCGACAATAAACAGTACTGAAGATTTGTCGATTTGTAAAAAAATATCATAAAGTTTAAATGAAGAGTGAAATTACCATTCTAAAAGGAATATTTCGTGTATGGGAGACAGAAAGTGTCAAGGGTGACCGAAAGCCGATTAGAAATCGTGAATTTGCTTAAAACGAGATTTCGTACGAACCTTTTTATTTCGCAATCATACATTTTTTCCCTTTCACGGAAAAAGAAGTATAAAAAGAAAATTCACAAATGAAATGAATAATTTGGCGTTTACATTAAATATCATTAATTTAAATGCTCGACTAATAAAATGTGACGTTTCATTAACTATGTCAAATAATTTCACGCTCATATTGTGGCACAATCGAGTGTTCTGAGTTTATTCATGGGTAAAGCCTTTTTTTTGGTTCTAGTTAAGGCTGAAACAAGAAACATATGAAAAGAGGGATTTTTTCAAGCCACGAAGCAGACACATTTAATAGAATCATTTTTTCTCTCTTCCAGGTTCTTTCGCTTCGCGAAGCATCGGTCCCGCAGCCACTGATCCGTTAAATCCAGGAGAACGATAAAGGCCGATTTACACGGAGAAACCGATTGCCCCGGCTTCACCAAATCGCCTTGTCCCATTAATCGTCGAGTCGTTCGTCAATTGGAGCGGCATCGTCGATTAGATTCTCCAAAGGCTCGTTTTCGTATCTACGTTCGAGGATTCAAAGATTCGAAGCACCAGCAGCAGTGATATCAAGAGAGGCGAGCATAAGAGAAGGATCAGATTAGGCGTATTTTGTAAAGTCCGTAAAGTCAGGCCTCAGGTGTTAAGATGGCCTCCGATTGATACGGCAAGATATCTCGTTCAATATTAGAGCACTCTGTCTGAAATAGTTTGACGGTAAATCTTCGAGAAACGTGGATATGTCAATAAAAATCGGCGAGTTCGGAAAGTTGGACTGGATATATTTTATTAGGTCGTAAATAATGAACAATGGCCGCCGTACACGGAAGTCCAAAAGGATTCACTCTGAATCATTCGGATTTTCCTATTCCTACAATATCCAGGTATACATAACACATACATATTCTTGTATCCATCTGTGTGTAATATTTAATATATTTTTTTCAGCCAAATTCTCCACAAGAAATTCCAACCAAGTACAAATTAATAGCTGATTTGGTATCAGTTTAACTACCGGAAGAGAACGGCAGCCATATTGAATACCATCGATATAAACACAGATCGAAAGCAAACTTCTGCCGTTTCTTCAGTGTTCTACCAATTCCTTAAAAGCTCAAGTAACGTCCATCTAAATTTGTCAAGAACTTCTCACCCGGATGCAACGTGTAAGTAAAGGTTGCCCGAGACAAATCGACAAGCGGTTGCGTGTCGACTACGTTCTCTCGGCACAATTTCCAACTTTTATCAGCACGTAATCGCAAAACTTTTTAATTTACTTACAAACTTGCTCTGTTCATCGAATCGGCACGGAGAGTCAGAGAGAAGCCTTCGTGTTGGCGGATGGCTGTTGCCACGATTAGCTGCGACTCACGACTACCGTTCTATTTTCATGTGTTTCCACATAACCCAACCTAAACCAACTTAACCTAACAAGAAGTATAACTTTCCTGCCCGGTTCTCGCGATCCCGTGCAACTTAATACTTAAAAGGGGAAAGACTAATAAGAATGGAGAGACGCCGAAAGCCCTGACTAATTCCTTGAAATACCAGCGAAACTCAAAACCGCTTACTTCACGTTATACAATGATGATACTTTATTTTTATTACTTTTCGCGCCTTGCCTTTTTCTTTTACGTTGCCTTATCATTTTCTTCGCACGATTACCACTCGGCCTATTTTTGTTTCAGTTTATTTGGGAAAGAAAAAAAAGTATGTCCACTTGACTCTACGTCTATACCATGGTGTACATACAAGGAAGAGTAAGGAGGAAACAAGTTTACGCGGACCCAAGAATCGTTTTACTGTTCAACAGGAAAAGATGTCGTTCTACCGTGATGGATTGTGGGAACTGCGATCTGTGCGTAACTCGTAACGACGTTTAATCATATTTTCATTATACTTTTATTCGCTAGATTTACTCCTCTCTTCTCTACCAACGTTTGTGCTTTTACTTTCCTTCGTGAAACCACATTTCGGATCTCTCAAAAACCTCTTCGAGTCTCATGTGATTTATGCGGTAAGAACCGTGAGAATATTCGATCTCGTGCCACTCGACATCTTTGTTATTTCTGTACTCTATCGGCTTTAATAATTTCTGGGTCTTCGCTTGAACGAATACGTACCCTTGAGTGATTCCTACATATTTTTATGCAGAATATGAAAATATTTATATACCCAACATCAAAGAAATTGTGGTGTAATTGAAAAAATGTTATGCAATGTAAAATATATGAATGTTATATTTCTTTTTACATCACGCTCCTGAATATACAGATAAATTGGGTCACGGTGTAACGTATCTTGAAACTGGTTTCTCATTACGTGATAATCAGGGATTTAATTTATTAATTATAAATCAACTTCTGACTCTTAAAAATTAGAACCATTAATTTCCTGGGAAATGATTCAAGCTTTTTCTTTTGCGAACATACACGAATACATTGCACTGACGTTAAACATCTTCATATGCATTTTTCCAAAGCTTAACCTAATATTTAAAGAAAGTATATGTGAAAAATGCCAGTAAATGGTATATACTCCTTACTGACTTCCGTTCATAGATTCACACAGGCATATACCCACACAGAATTATTTTTGGTAATATTTTCAGGGTTTAATATTTAACGTTATACATATATACTGTGACGTTGCAAATATATCACAAAAGTCCCGGATTATTGACTTTCGTTTTTCTCTCAGAATCGTATTTCCGTACTTTTTGCTACTATCTTGCGCGCAACCAGCCAGGACCTCCAGGGTCATAGGATAATTATACTTCATTGAACTATCTAAACTATTTCATACGTTTCAACCACGAAACCCGCCAGACCTTGGACCACGTGGAGAACAGTTGTCGTTTCCTAATGTCTCCACCCCATGTTAGACCCTTTTCAAAGGAGAGTAAGGAGGGTCATCCAAACGACCGCCCCCCCCCCCCC